TTTTCATACCATAAAAATTATGTCTAAGACATTTTGTCGAAAAATGAATAGTTTCGGAAATAATTGTTTGCTTCCATACTTTTTCCCCACCCTGTATAATCTGTGGACAAACTCCGACGCGTGACGCGCTCAGTGGATACGTATCCTAAAGATGCATTTACATGCAAGCGTCAAGTAGCGGAAGCAGCAACCAATCAGCTAGACGATGCTGGTAGTAGCGCAAAAAAATATTTTTTTACGCCACTGCACTTATCGCCTTGCTGATTGGTTGCAGTTTCCGCTGCTTGACGCTTGCATGTGAATGCACCTTAAGCGTAACTTGCGCCAACCAATCTTCTTTTTCTTCTGAGTTTCCGACTATAATGGTTTTCCGACTCGACAGTCAACCAATCAAATCGTTTCAACTAGATAACGCGTAGTAGCTGATACACTTTAATACGATTTAATTGGTTGAAGCAAATTACGCTTACGCAAATTACGTTATATGTGAAAGTAGCCGGAAGGCCGCAGCACACGCTTTTGCATAACGCATAACGCATAGTGCATAAGCGAATCAGGGTGCCGTCACATGCGGCGTAACTTGCGTAAGCGTAACTTGCGCCGACCAATCATATCATTTCACTTGAACATCAGTTTCTGTCTAGTCACTTTATGCTTTTTACGCTATTTTGTTGTTACGCCGAAACATGATAGAACCACTATGCATCGAATCTAATTTCTGGCTCATTTTAGCTTATTCTGTCTGAAAAAATGCAGAAGGGTTTCGATTTTGCAACAGTACAATTATAAAAGTCGTGCGCCCATTTGCATCGCGTGAAAAGTCGAAACCCATGTGGAACAGTACAATTATAGATCTCATTTTGCCTCTGTGACAGATTTCCTAACCTTAATAGTCATCAACTTTAACGCTTAATATCTCAGATCACAAGGCAGAACGAATTTTTTTTGCCAGATTCTTTTGTTTCATGCAAAAACGCGTCGAATAAGCCTAAGAGTGGTTTCACAAAATGTTCCGATTTTAATAATTTAGGGGAAAGTGGGGGAATTGTGCACAGCGGATAATTGTGCGCATCCTGGTTTGGTACTTTGCCGATAAATGGAGACATCGCCGTGATGAAATTTTTACGCAGGAGG